CCTCAATCTTCATCACTGAAGTGGAAAAAGAAAAATTATTTTCTGTGTACGTTTTTACTTACATAATGTTGTATCTTTGAATCAATAAATAAAATCAGAATTATGTAATCATCTCTCTTTGCATACATTAAAAGCAAGAAATATTCAACAGGCACTTTATAAAAATGTGTACCTATGATATGAATACAGTATATAAATATACATTATTTTAGAGAATTTCTTTAAAGAAATGATAGGTTGGGCAAATGTACAGATATTACAGTTGGGGAAAGCTTTATTTCCTAATCTGTATAATCCAGAAAACAGGATTTGATATATATAGCAAAGGAGGGAATAAAATAAACCAAAATGGGGAAAAAATTCCCATCAGTGAATGCAGATCTGATTTTCAAGAAAGAAGGATTTGCTCACATGAAAAGAGGAATTATCTAACTTGTTGGGAGGACATCAGGTTAAGGAAGCTAGTTCAAATATAAAGATGAGAAAAGGAACAAGGCACCAGATCTGAGTATTTATGAACATGTGATAGCAAAGAAAGATGCAAGCAAAAGCTTTGTAATGGAGATATACAGTCATGACTCTCCAATTTCAAGGAACTATTCTGAGAAACGTATTTGAATTTATGGTATAAACTAAATTAATCCACCCAGTTTTACCCAGAATCCATTTCTTTCTGTAACCCTCCAATACAACAGAAGATTAAGCTTCTCTGCTACTGTGAGTGATGGAGACAATTGAATAGATCATGAGTTCCCTTTTCACATCTGGTCACAGTCCTTTTGGTGCTGCAGCTGCCAAAAAACCCCCAACAACGCAGTCCTAGGCTGCATTAACTGAGGGATAGAATCAAGATCACACGAAGTGTTAATACCACTTTATAATAATTGGTAATACCACATTTGGAATACTGCATCCAGTTTTGGTCACCACGATGTAAAGAAGATGTTAAAACTCTAGAAAGAATGCAGAAAAGAGCAGCAAAAATGATTAGGAGACTGGAGGCTAAAACATATCAAGAATGGTTGATGATTGTAAGAATTTAATGAGGTTTAATGAAAAGAAGGACCAGGAATGACATGATAGCAGTATTCCAACATCTCAGAGGATAACCTAAATAAGAGGGAGTCGAGCTATTCTCCAAAGCACCTGAAGGCAGGATAAGAAGCAATGGATGGAACTTAATCAAGGAGAGAGCCAGCCTAGAACTAAGGAGAAATTTCCTGACATGAGAACAATTAATCAGTGGAATGGCTTGCCTCCAGAAGTTGTGGGTGTTCCATTCCTGGAGGCTTTTAAGAAGAGATTGGACAGCCATTTGTCTGAAATGTTATAAGGTCTCCTGTTTGATCAAGGGGTTGGACTAGAAGATCTCCAATGTCCCTTCCAACTCTGTTATTCTGTTATTCTAAAATCCTGATCAATACCTAAAGGGCAGTGCTATTTAGGCTCATCTCACAAACACGTGGCAATAAGAAAAAAGTCCTACTCTTTTATCACAAGATTTGTTTTCTCTGAGTCTAGTGAACTTATTTCACTAAAATATAATTTGAAAATAGTAGGCTGTCATTTCTTCATCAAAATGGTCGTGACTCAAGTCTTTGCCAGATTAGATAATCCAGATACTAAATAAACTTTGTAGACTATATAGAAATATATCTTTAATCAAGAATGAACTATATTCAAAAGCTGTGACTCCAAGTTGGTGGCTAATGACCATGCAACAAAATTGTTAGTTTTTGCTTTACAATAATAGATCACAAGTGCAAACACCAAAATGTATTGTGCAATATTGCCCACAATGTGCATTTTTTGGTTCCTTAAATGACCTGCATAAAGTAACACCAGGTGATTGTCTGGGTAGCTGAATTGGACGTCAAGTTATGAAGCCACTCCCGTACCCCCTTATAACTTATGTATATAATTACATGGATTGTGTGTACATGTTTACCTCTCATTTGTTGTGTTCTCATCATATGCTAAGTAATAAATAGATCACAGGAGGTTCCCACCAATCCTTTTATTCTGTGATTATTACACAGTTGCACATTAAAAAAAGAAAATTGGTAATCTACTGAAGGTACTTTTTCAAAAGACAACTGGAGTTTTTCTTTGTTTTTTCTTTGAAGACATTTCACTTCTCACCCAAAAAGCTTCTTCAGTTCTGACTGAAGCTTCTTGGATGAGAAGTGAAACATCTTCAAGGAAAAACAAAGAAAGTCCAATTGCTCTTTGAAAAAGCACCTTAGGGACAACCATGACTTGGATGACTGAGACTCTCCATAGACATTTGTAACCTACCAGTTTAGCCACTGTTTTTCTCCATCTTTGTTAAGATAGACTTGTTAAAGAATATCTGCTTTGGAAATGGATTCTGAAGCTCCGAAGCTTGATGCTTCTAATAGGATGACATAGTAATTTTCCATCACTTGTCAACAAAGGCTATGCTAAGAGATCTGGGAGACCTGGAGCCTTTCTTTCTAAAAGTTTCCTCACTGCCTCCTTGACTTCATTGTTCCTAATGGTGTAAATGAAAGGATTTAACACCGGGGCGACCATGGTGTACAGTATGGAGACAGACTTCAACCTACTGAAGGAAGAGTTCTTGACGGTAGGTCTTAAATAGACAAAAAAGACTGACCCGTACAAAATGCAGACTACAATCAGGTGTGAAGCACAGGTAGAAAAGGCCCTCTGCTGTCTGGTGGTTGAAGACATTCGGAGAATGGTGGAAATGATGAAGAGGTAAGAAATGAGGGTGAAAAGCAAGGAGGACATAATCACAACCACCGTAACTAGAAAACCAAGCACTTCAATGACTTGTATATCTCCTCCTGCAATCTTCAGCACGGGTCCCACATCACAGTAGAAATGGTTGATAACATTGGACGTACAGTAGGGTAGCTCTGCTATCATCACTATCTGATAAAGAATGGAGAAAAAACCTCCCAACCAGGCACCTATTGCTAGTTTAAGGCAGACCCCAGAAGTCATGATTGTACCATACCTCAGGGGATAGCAGATAGCGAGGTACCTGTCCAAGGATATCAAAGTCATGATAAAAAATTCTGTGACCCCAAAGAGAAAGTAGAAGTACAGTTGTGTTATGCAGCAGTAGAAGCAGATGGAATTGTTTGCAGAGACATAATTGACCAGCAGTTTAGGAATAAAGGCTGTGGTGTGTCCAATGTCAATGCAAGATAGGTTGCTAAGGAAGAAATACATGGGCTTCTGGAGATGGTGATCCAGAATTACCACCACAATGATGAGCCCATTGCCCATCAGACACAGGAGGTAGAGCAGAAAGATGCCAGCATGCATCAAACCTTCGAGTCCCCAAACTCTTGGCAATCCAACCAGGATAAACTCTACCACTCTCGTACAGTTGGTCAAATCCATGTTACCCTATAAGAAAGGAAAATATGAAATCTTTACTGGGTCAGTCTTTAGCTACATTTTTTTAAACATAATTTTCATGAATTACTGTTCCAGTTTTTGCATCTTCTGCAGATGGAAAATATTGACGAATAAAATAAAAATTCTGATGGAAGACATTGAGAACATAAAGAAAATAATATGAGTACTTTTGTTTCTACATGGAGACCGTTTCTGGAATTTGTGCTTGAGGTGGAAAAAAAATGAAACTTTGATTTTGGGTTTTACTGATTAGATTGATTTGTTGTTACAGAAATGGCTAGTTTATACTATTATGAAAAAATAAAAAGTTCAGGTTTGATGTTAACACTTTATTCTATTGCAACAGAGGAAGTCAGAAGTCAATGTCTTGTCTTTTCTTTTTCCCTTCTCCCTCTCTCTTTCCTTTCCCTTTTTCCTCCCCATTGTATCCCACTATTTGCTTTGTATTTTGTATTTTACTCTGTAATTCATTAAAATATATTAAATACTACATTAAAAAAGGAAGACATGGAGAACATTAGGAGAACATTTGAAGGTGGAAACTCATTTGGATATGCAAGATAGATGTGTTGCTAAGAGAAAGAAAATAAAGGGGTGAATGGATAAGCATTTATGAATGTAAGATATAAAATTGTGATACTCAGCCAATAAGAAATGTGTTGAGATGTTGAAGAACAGCAACAAAGAATGCCCCATCAAATAAGATTCATGGTTTGTAGGCATCAACACATTTCGTGGTTTGTCATTTCGTGGTTTGTTTCCTGTCACACAGCAACACACTCTAGTTTGGAAGCATCACTGCTTCAGACAGGAAGGCGGTGCAGAGAATGGTGAGAATGGCTGAAAAGATCATTGGCAGTTCCCTCCCTCCCATCCAGGACATAGCACAGAAGCGCTGCTTGAGCAACGTCTGCAAGATTTCTGGGACACTACACATCCTCTTCACAACTTGTTTTCCTTGTTACCTTCTGGGAGGAGGCTCCGTGGTATCTGAAGCAGAACATCCAGATTCACTCACAGCTTTGTTCCATACAGTATTAACCTTGTGAACTCTCAAGCTTCCTCCTTCCATTATGTACAGTATTCAAGATGGACAGTGATTAATATTTATATGTTACTTATATGTAAGGGTGTACATATGTTGTATATAGTATGTTTTAAACGTGTGTTATGTATGTGTACACTTTGAGAGGAAGCAACTAAATTTCATTTGTAATGTGTGCCATTGTACCCACAGGAAAAATATAATAAAGGTTATCTAATCTAATATAATCTTATCTAGGCATCAACACAGTTTGTAAATGTATATTTGGTAAATTCCTTTCTCTTCTTGGATAAACGTGGTTGTATCCTAAACTACAGAAAGGACACAAGTAATGTATTTCCACATGCACATACCCAAGCATTCTTAGGAATAGGAAGTCAAGATCCTCAATAGTGAGAGATTGTTCTCCATTTCAAGCTGAGACAAGAAAAGCAGTAATAGGGACACCTGTTAGCTATATTTCAAAATAAAAACAAAATTCTTTTTACTAGTTCTTAGTGGATATTCTGGATCCACAAACAGAATCTTCCAGTTTCACTAGATTTCAAAGAAACATTTTATCTACTCCAATAAAGAAAAACATATTAGTATTTTCAGAGTCTTTTCTGCCCATTACCTCATGGATTTAAGAGTTATGGAGCTTGGGATAACATCTCCAGGGGAATACATCTCTAATTTCCCATGTGAATCCAGACATGATGCTAAAAAGATACTATTTTGAGTCGCCATGGTGGTGAACCTGGTATAGTTTGAATCAAATTGCTCCAAGATTTGTCATCTTCTGTGTATTATGACTTCTTGAAAGAATCTTGCAGGGACAACAAATAATGTTTTCCTCCCATATAACTTTCCTCTCCTATGAAATTTTCTCTCTTTCCATGGAACTCAAAGGGAGAAAATTATCTACATTAACTCCAGAGCTCACACTGCTAAGGTTATATTTTATTCTTGAGGGGTGGGTGTATGCAAAATTAAAAGTATTTCTGTTCAGTTAAGAATTCTTGCCTGGCCCCAATTCTCTGCAATTCTCTAAAATATGTTGGACATCTATAGCTGCAGAAATATATTTTCAGGTAATCCTCAACTTACAACCCCACTGAGTGGCCATTCAAAGTTACAATCGCACTGAAAAAAGTGACTGAGGACCCTTTCCTGCACATATGACCGTTGTAGCAGCCCCATGGTCATATGACCAAAATTCAGATGTTTGGCAACTGGCATGTACTTATGACAGTTTTGGTCACATTTTGTGACCTTAGGGAAGTCACTTAACAACTGTGTAATTAATTTAATAACCGCAGTGATTCACTTAACTGGGGCAAGAAAAGTCATAAAATGGGGGCAAAACTCACTTAACAACTGTCTTGCTTAGGGGACTGGAGGCTAAAACATATAAGGAATGGTTGCTGGAATTGGGTATGTCTAGTTTAACAAGGAGAAGGATGAGGGGGAACATGATAGCAGTGTTCCAATATCTCAGGGGCTGCCACAAAGAAGAGGGAGTCAAGCTATTCTCCAAGGCGCCTGAAGGCAAGATAAGAAGCAATGGATGGAAACTGATCAAGGAGAGAAGCAACTTAGAACTAAGGAGAAACTTCTTGACAGTTAGAACAATCAACCAGTGGAACAACCTGCCTCCAGAAGCGGTGAATGCTCCAACACTGGAAGTTTTTAAGAAGAGACTGGACAGCCATTTGTCCGAAATGGTGTAGGGTTCCTGCCTGAGCAGGGGGTTGGATTCGATGACCTCCAAGGTCCCTTCCAACTTTATTATTATTTATTTATTATTATTATTAATTATGGCCATAGGTTGAGGACTACCTGTATCTTCCCAGGAGACTTCCAGCCTAGTGCATAAAAGAAATTCAACCTCTTTGATCCTTTCCCCCCCTATAATTTTTAATTTGGATCATTACAAAGCATTTATTAACTTGCAACATAGTGTGAGGCTTTTCATGAAGAATTTTGGGGTGCCCCCTCTGTTACTAATGGGAGGATTTATTTCTGGCATCCTCTTCCTGTCAGTTGTGTTCAGTTCTAGGGCTCATCTTTGTTTCTTGGCTGAGGTAGCCAGCATTGCCTGAAGACAATTCCCATTTTTATGTAGCTAGCATGGCTATATGCCAAGGCCCATGGAATGCTGCTTTATCTTCCCACTGAAGTGGTACCTATTTATCTAGTTGAATTTGCATGCTTTCGAACTGCTAGCTGGGCAATTAGCTGGAATTGGGTATGTCTAGTTTAACGAAGAGAAGGACGAGGGGGGACATGATAGCAGTGTTCCAATCTCTCAGGGGCTGCCACAAAGAAGAGGGAGTCAAGCTATTCTCCAAGGCGCCTGAAGGCAGGACAAGAAGCAACGGGTGGAAACTAAGCAATGAGAGAAGCAACCTAGAACTAAGGAGAAACTTCCTGACAGTTAGAACAATTAACCAGTGGAACAACCTGCCTCCAGAAGCCGTGAATGCTCCAACACTGGAAGTTTTTAAGAAGAGACTGGACAGCCATTTGTCTGAAATGGTGTAGGGTTCCTGCCTGAGCAGGAGGTTGGACTCGATGACCTCCAAGGTCCCTTCCAACTTTATTATTATTATTATTAATATTAATATTAATATTGTTACATAGTACTGTAGTTTGGCTGCTAAAAAAGTGCTAGATTGTGTAGTTTGCACTCATGCACTTATTCAGGGTGCACCACAGGGGGGTGAACTAGTTCCGCACCTGGTCCGAAGGTTCTTGCTGAAATGTTGCAGGAAAACTACAATGGTAGCTTCTGATACTGCAGAATTGTGAAGTTGAAAAAAAAATGTATTTTTCCATGTAATCCTCCTATATTTTTGATGTCATTATTTTTCTGTCTATGTCAGGAGAGAGCAACAGACACCCCCTTCTCTTCCCCCCCCCCCCCCCCCCCCC